CTTCCTAGTGACAAGACAACAACAAGCAACAGGGCGTTTAGGGTCTGACGATGCGCGGTTTGAGCGTTTTGAGCTTGAGGTTTCTGGTGCTGGTTAGCATCCCGCGGTTCCAGACCCTATAGCTTAGTCTTTTTTTGAGGTTTTTGGGGTTTTACGGTTTTGAGGTTCGAGACTCTGGGGGCTTTCGGCTTTGGGTTTCGACTCTCACACTCGAACGCAGCAGGCTTTGGGTCTAAGGGTTTCGTTGAAGTCAGCAGGCATAGTGGGAGTAGAATCGCAGTGTAGTTCAAGAGCACGTTAGTTGAGAGTAAGCTATTTTGTAGGTAGTCTTCGCTGCTTCAGTGGAAGCTGAGAAATTGTAGCGGCGAGAGCCTTACCCGGTGGGATACAGCAATGGAATGCGAGGTTTTGAGCCACTGCGCCGAAGCAGCCATTCGGTGTCGTTGGCACGCAGTGCGTATTCCGGGACCGACTTGCGAAACGGCCCGTCCTACCATGCAGCAAGTCTCCTCAACCACTAATTGTCATCCTGGAAGCCCAGAGCCCTTGAAGCAAAACAGCTTTCGAGCACAGGCTTTGCAGGTGAGGGATATAGCAATCCTTCACTTTGGGTATCCATGCATGTTCGCATGATCATGATCCTGATTGTCAAGATCCTTACAAGCGTCCGCTGCTAAAATTTTTGCTACTACTACTACTACTACTACTGCTACTACTACTACTACTACTACTACTACTACTACTATTACTATTACTATTACTACATACTAGATACTACATACTACTTACTACTTACTACTTACTACTTACTACTAACTACTGCTGCTACTATACTACTACTGTTACTATAATCACTACTACTACTACTACTACTACTACTACTACTACTACGACTACAACTACGTCTCCTGCAACAACTACTATGTACTCATACAACTACCAGGACTACTACGACTGCCACACGACGACGACAACGGCTCCGACTACCTCGACTACTGCTACTACCAATACAACTACCACTGGCACCACGGCCGCCACCCCAACAAGTACTACTACTACTACTACTACTACTACTACTACTGCTACTGCTACTGCTACTACTACTACTACTACTACTACTACCACTACTACTACTATTACTACTATTACTAGTTACTACTTACTACTACTTATTACTACTTGCTCCTACTACTACTAGCTACTACTATTATTACTACTACTACTACTACTACTACTACTACTACTACTACTGCCACCACCACCCACCACTACTACTACCACTACTGCTGCTGCTGCTGCTGCTGCTGCTGCTGCTGCTCTGCTGCTGCTGCTACTACTACTACTACTACTGCTACTACTACTACTACTACTACTACTACTACTACTACTACTGCTACTACGACGACCCATGACGACGACTTCTGTCCTTTCCAGGTCCATTTCTAGGCTATATAGGATCTATTGACTCACGGTGACTCGCGGGCTCTACGGCATTCAAATAAACACTCGTCATGGCAATGGCATCGACAGCGCTGGTGGAAGCAGTGGTCATAAGGGAGAGCAGGGGAAAAAGAAAGCTGGCAGCGGAAAAAGGACGCTTCCAAAAGCAGCTGCACGAACTAAAATGGCCATGTTCCCCGTACTATCGCAATTCTGGCTAGGAACAGCTGCGTAACTCGTGCGGCAGCGCAGTACAACGATCCATCCACCAGGCGCAAAGTGCATGGACTGAAGTAGCTTCCAGTGCGTCGACCAACCTTTTCGTGGGAGTCATGTGGTGGTAGTGCTAGGAGTTTGCGGCGACGACTACGACCGCAAGCAAGTCTACTTCGTATGGTTGACTGGGTGCCAAGCTGTCGGAGCCTCAGCCACCCCCGAGCGCAGTCCTCATGGCTGATTGTGTCATGCTGACTATAAGGTTTACGGCCAAGGGCCAAGGGGCCTGAGTTAAAAGCTTTCGTTATTATTAAGAGCATCTATGCACGTGTCCTACAGTCCTACAGTTCGTGCTTTGTGGTCACTACATAATATGTACAGACTTCTTGATGATGCAGCCACATAACGACAACACGGCTGATGAGAGCAACCCCTATGTCATTTCTGCTCCGACCACAGCCATGATAGGCGTGCGGACAGTTGCAAGGGCACCTGGCAGCATACGAGCCGCTGAGGGGAGGCGGGGGAGGGGGGTCAAGACGTCACAAAACCCTAACAGAATCCGACAGTCCGTGGAGTACGGGCAACCAGGGGCCCAGCAGTAGCGATCGATATAGCCGCGATAGTAATTAGTACTCAAACAGTCGTGTACACTCTGTGGCATCGGACAGCTGGAGTTCCTGACAGCCTTTGCATCATCAGCACGGTTCACGGAATACCCTGGCCCTGTCCTCTGTGTCGTGCAACTTGTTGTTGCACACCGGGCATTGCCAGGCAGGTTCGTCTGCACGAATGTCATCCATGCACCTTCTGTCAGTACTGGATAACTTCTGAACTTAACGCCGTGACCAAAGCCGAATATGGACAGCCAATTCCTAACCGCAAGAAGGCATCACAGAAAAAATCGGGAAGTCTAGAATTAGGACCTGAAGCAGAAGGCGTAGCATGCCACGAGAGCCCCACACTATTCCAATAAATTGAAGGGTGCTTGGAAGGAATTCGTAGGATGGGCAACACAACGAATCCTTATCGCAGTGGATCGCAGGCGCTGTTTTCTCAGATGTACGTCATGCCTCTGAGTATTCGATGCCACTCGCTCAGCATACACGGCGGTCCTAAACCCTAATGGCCCGAACCGTTTTCGATGGAGTTCCGACGAGCTACCCAGGTTGAGGGTTCAGGAGTGCTAGGTCGCTAGCTGCCACTAACCGTCAAGGCATCGAATTTTGCTTGCACATTTGCAAGCACCCGGGCAGAAGCGAAATCCGGCAAGCATGTGGTCCAAGACTCATTTCACGCAAACTGCGTGAAATCGTTCGTCTGAAGTAGGTGTACCTCTACGGCTAGGCTTTACCGAGATCCAAGTTCTCAACGGTAAATCCGTACTACGACACATGGTTTAGTTCAGTATCTGGAGCGTGTCGCTTCGTAGAAAAGTCGAAGCATCAACGATGACACAGTGCTGCAACACGAACACCAACGCCCATACCTGTGCGGACTTCGCAGAAAGCTCCCTTGCCGAGAAGGCAGCCCCGTCACGGGTTGCCACGCAACTAGGGAGGACTGGTCCAAAACCATGCGATTTCCACTTTCTGGTACTAGTGTCATTATCCTGAACCAACCCTGAACTCACCCTGACTTTGCTGTGAGGATGAAACCACACAACGTACCCGGGCCCTGTGCGCTTTGAACGACAGTAAAAGCCCCGAGCTATTGCTTGGAACTCCGCCTTGCTGCTTGAAGTCAAAAGCCCTTTAGATTCTGGCTACGGAATGGCACCGTTCGTCGTTTGTAGAATGTTTTAGTGCAGGGATCTGCAAAAACAGCTCGAGGCACAGTTGCAGCAACTACCAGGTGTGAGAGTCAGCTACAACCACAAAGCTTCGGTTAAGGCCGTGCAGTGCAATGGCAACAAGTTTCCCCTGGTCGGTGTGTTGAGTCTGTGATTTTTTGGCTCTATGACAATCTCAACAGTATGCACCAAGAACTGCTATGTATAATGGCATGCCCAAGGTTAAATAACGCAGAATGGCAGCGAAAGTTCTTGGTCACAGTTATAGAGCAATAGCAAATAACAACAGAAAATGATGCTGATCTGCCAAAAATTTAGGAAGCATCATGGTCTTCGCACATGTGGGGATAGAAGCTGCACCATCACGAAGAATAAACAGCAGAGCTTGATGTCAAAGCTGGTTGAAAGTCGTTTTGGGCAACAGCCTCTGCCATCCTCTGCCAAGCTCTAATACTGTTGAAGGGCTTCTTGGAGATCCTAAGAACAACAACCGGGCAATTTCGGATCAATCCTGCTAGGGTCCTGTATTTTCTGACACTTTCGCAGGAGGCTTCAGTCAGCAACGCAAATACGCTCAAAATGATCTAGACCAGGAACGCTTTCAAAGTCTCATTCCCTAAACCCTGCCTTGTTTCTTGAAGACGGAGCCAGTGGCGGCCAGCACTACGTATGTTCTCACCTTTGAACATTGCTTGGACGGTGATGTTGCCGTGGCACCATTGCTGCCACTGCGAGTGTTGCTTTTGCCAGTTTTGACGACTAGTAGCCTAACGGTGACTGCTTTGTTTTACCGTGCGCGCCTGTGCTGACATCATAGATGACAGCCAACACGCACAGACTTTCTTGACCAATCCTCCAGTCTCTGCGGCTGTGGCAAGCTCTGCTGCGACCTCCAGCCCCACCGGCTAGCTGCCAAATTCAATCTTAGGGTCTTGGTTCCAAGCAACGAAGTTCTTGGCATTTCGAGCAATATAGGCAACATATGGTCTTCATCATTGAAGTTGAATTCTGGGTAAACGATACTGCAAACGTACAGGGGCTGTCGGCGTAATGAACGAATAAGGCCGAGTATAGGGTTCCGGTTATGGCGAGCCAAGTCCTACAAACAGAAGCCTGCGTCCCCTAAGCCGTGGCCCTCAACAACCATAACCGTGATTTTTAATTCAGTTTAGTGCAACACAGCTGGCGGTTGTATGCCAGATTCAAAGACCAGAAATGATGTCGAAGCCAAACTGAACTGGCGGCAAACTTGATAATGTCTAACCAATGCACTGGAAGGCACAGCCGTGAGAATTAGTATGGCGATTCTTGAACCATGGTTTATCTGCATGTTCTATATTTTGTTCGAGCAAGGAAATTTGATTGGCTGCCCGACATCGTGGATCTTAGTGCGGCTAGATGCAGTCTGAAGGATGATAACGGATTAGGGCCGCGGCCGAAGTTTAGGGCACTTAGGCGATTTAGGCTAAGCAAGCGACGGCTCTACGGCCAATGTCATCCGGGGAGGGGACCGTATTTATGGCAGCAAAAGCGGCAGTGGTGCCTGCCCCAGGTGGACAGTTCCACTGCGCCGCCAGCGAACCAGGAGTGTTGCCACTGCAGCATGCACACAGCCGACTGTGAAACTTCGAGAGCACGGCCCAGAGCGTCCGAAGGCCCTTGACCCTTGACCAATTATAGATCCAGTGGCACAGAATCGTTCTTTTTAATTACTTACTTTTCCATACGGGGTGGTGCCACACATCGTGCTATCGCCAAACTTAAAAGAGGATCCATGATATGATCCGCAGGCTCTTGCTGCATACAGTATTCTTCCGCATTCTTGCACACCGCACCAGCGCGCTCCCTAGCTCCCTACATCGCCTGCCCGCCGACTTGCACACACGCACCGGCGTGCAAGCGCACGTGCACTCACTCAGTTACTCAGTGGCTACTCGCAAACCTTGCGTACACCCAGTCATATAATTTCCGCGAGCACAATGACTTACTTACTTACTTGACTACCTTACCTGATCTTGCCCCTCCTTACCCTACATACATACCTACTTACGAACTAGCATTACTAACCTTTACATTACATTACCTTACAAAAGCGTGCATACTGACATTATTGCCATGCATACATCAACACATACGTACGTACATACATACATACATACATACATACATACATACATACATACATACACGCATAAGTGCATGCGTGAATGTGGGAACGCACAAACACCTGTGTCATGTGTGTAGATAAACAGATATGTAGGTAGATAAATAAATAGATAGATAGATAGATTGATTGATCGATAGATTGATTGATTGAGAATGCTTCATGCAACCGTATCAATTCCGTGGGCTTGGATCGACCACTATTATGGACAGCAGCTGCGCGATGAATCAAGGGAGCACGCAGTCTTGTCCCAAACCCTGCGAACTGCACTTAGACTTTGCACTTCTCAAACCCTATCCCGAGGACCTAGGGCAGCAACATAAGCAAGGGCACACATTACCATCTGTCGTTTCCCGAATCGGGTGCAAATCCCGGTTCTGGCCGAGTTCAACTCAATGCCGAAAGCGCTCGTGGTACTGATGGAGGGCTCGGACGCCCTAGGCGCAACCAGAAAAAAAAACATTGTCCTATCTCCAGCTGTGCGGGAGAGGCACTGCACGACAGAGCCCCATGACCTGAGGTCTTTGCACCCCTGCCCCAACTGCAATCTGTGGGATCATCAGAAGTCCATGTCGACTAAACCCAGCTCCTTCACAAGCTTGGGAGACTCTGAAACAAGAAACTCGTAGACAGTGAAGCAAGCCCAAATCTGTGGACCCCTAAACGCTTGAAGCTTGAGTCTGAACTCCGCAGGTCTGAACCCTAGCACTTTGACCGTTAAAGCCCCGCAGGTCCATAGAGGCGTCTTGTAGGGCCTTTGGCCGGCACTGACGAATGATTATCATCGTCAGCTCCTACATGTTGAGAACACCATGGGTCCATTGCTTTTCTGTTCTTCCATTCGGATGAAGGCATTGGGTCTTACACCAAATCCGCGACCTCGACGGCGTACCCTGAAGTTTTAAAGGAGGGGAGATCAGTTCGACTGCGTCGCGGTGTCGGCGGCGGGCCACAGTGTGCGTCCTTGGAATGGCGGATGATGTCAGAACTCCGCAGCAAGCACCGAAACTCCAGACGATCGCGGCTACAATCCTTGTCGATTTATCAAGGAATCCGAAAGAAAGCATCCTGTTCAAAAGCGGAGTTTGCACAAGGGGTGGTAAGCCCGTTCGCGCTGGGCACCACGCAAAACCATGGGGGTCTGCTTATTTGAATCTTTCTTGACTTCATGTCGGTTTTAGGCTTAGGGAAAGGAATCCACGAAGATTCCTCAAGCCCAACAAATCAAAACCAATCAAACCTAAAAAACGAACCTGGTTACCGAAGCCCGCTCGGCAGTTCTTGATATAGCAAGACTGATGATGAAGACGGTGATGATGATGATGACGATGATGATGATGATGTAACAGGCCTGCTGTAGAAAGAGGGGAGGCAAGAACATTCTTCTATGCATCAGACCCGATGGACGATACAACATCAACTGGCATGCACTGAGTGGAACTCAAAAGGAACCAAATGGAACTTCCAGAACAGCAGGCGTCGCGGACCAGTTCTTGGACAGAGTTAACCACACAGTATGCCATAGACAGCAGGGCTTTGTAGGGTTTACGAAAATACACCAGGTTCCACACATATCCTATCCTGATTGCGGGGCTCCGGGGTTTTGCAAAAGCCCACCTCCTCAATCTAGCTCAGCTGCTGAGTGAGGCATATGGAAAACACTGGGCTTTAAACTTGAATTAAAGTTATAGGGTTGCAGGCTCGCGTCCCATGCTTTGCACACACCTATGGTACGTGGGTTTACACTAAAGGATTTATGCTACCTCTGCGATCGACGCGCCCTCACTGTGGCCGCCCCCACATATTCAACATTCAACACTGTCTACAAAACTCTAAACACATCTAAGCCCC